ATTTTTTCAATGATTTTGTAGGATCTCGGAGAGTCTTAGTGTTAATTCACAAGAATTTCTGGGTCCCAAGTGTCTTTTTTAAAAACTTGTAAGAATTAAAAGGAATATCTAGGTCCCTAGTGTCATTTTTTCAATAATTTTCCATGATATCGGAGGCACTTAATGTCATTTTTTAAAGAATTTGTAAGAATTCAAAAGGATCTCTGGGTCCATAGTGTCTTTTTTGAGAATTTGTAAGAATTAAAAGGAATCTCTGGTTCCCTAGTGTCATTTTTTAAAAAGTTATATGAATTCTAAAGAATGAATATCTGTGTCCTAGTGTCATGATTTTTGTTGATCTCGGAGGCTCCTAGTGTCATTTTTCAATGATTCTCTAGGAATTTGGGAGACCCTTAGTGTTATTTCAAAGGAATTTCTGGGTCCCTAGTATCTTTTTTAAGAATTTGTAGGAATTCTAAAGAATTTCTGGGTCCCTAGTGTCATTTTTCAACGATTCTCGATGATTTCGGAGGCTTTTAGTGTCATTGTTTAAATAATTTATAACAACTCAAAAGGATCTCTGGGTCCCTAGTGTATTTTTTTAAGAATTTGTAAGAATTCAAAGGATCTCTGGATCCCTAGTGTTTTTTTAAAGAATTTGTAGGAATTCTAAAGAATTTCTATGTCCGAAGTGCACTTTTTCAATGATCCTCGACGATCTCGGAGGCTCTTAGTATCACTTTTTCAAAAATTTGTAAGTCTAAAGAATTTCTGGGTCCCTAGTGTCATTTTTTAAGAATTTATAAGAATTCAAAAGAATTCTGTGTCTCTAGTTGGTGTCATTTTTTTCAATGATCATCAAGGCGCTCGGAGACCCTAAGTGTCATTTCTTCAATCATTTTCGATAATCTCGGAGGCTCTTAGTGTCATTTTAAGAATTTGTAGGAATTCTAAAGAATTTCTGGGTCCCTAGTGTCATTTTTCAACGATTCTCGATGATTTTGGAGGCTTTTAGTGTCATTGTTTAAATAATGTATAACAACTCAAAAGGATCTCTGGGTCCCTAGTGTCATTTTTTAAGAATTTATAAGAATTCAAAAGAATTCTGTGTCTCTAGTTGGTGTCATTTTTTTCAATGATCATCAAGGCGCTCGGAGACCCTAAGTGTCATTTCTTCAATCATTTTCGATAATCTCGGAGGCTCTTAGTGTCATTTTAAGAATTTGTAGGAATTCTAAAGAATTTCTGGGTCCCTAGTGTCATTTTTCAACGATTCTCGATGATTTTGGAGGCTTTTAGTGTCATTGTTTAAATAATGTATAACAACTCAAAAGGATCTCTGGGTCCCTAGTGTAATTTTTTAAGAATTTGTAAGAATTCAAAGGATCTCTGAATCCCTAGTGTCTTTTTAAAGAATTTGTAGGAATTCTAAAGAATTTCTATGTCCGAAGTGTCACTTTTTTAATGATCCTCGACGATCTCGGAGGCTCTTAGTATCACCTTTTCAAAAATTTGTAAGGATTCTAAAGAATTTCTGGGTCCCTAGTGTCATTTTTTTAAGAATTTATAAGAATTCAAAAGAATTCTGTGTCTCTAGTTGGTGTCATTTTTTTCAATGATCATCAAGGCTCTCGGAGACCCAAAGTGTCATTTCTTCAATGATTTTTAGATAATCTCGGAGGCTCTTAGTGTCTTTTTAAGAATTTGTAGGAATTCTAAAGAATTTCTGGGTCCCTAGTGTCATTTTTCAACGATTCTCGATGATTTCGGAGGCTTTTAGTGTCATTATTTAAATAATTTATAACAACTCAAAAGGATCTCTGGGTCCCTAGTGTATTTTTTTAAGAATTTGTAAGAATTCAAAGGATCTCTGGATCCCTAGTGTCTTTTTAAAGAATTTGTAGGAATTCTAAAGAATTTCTATGTCCGAAGTGTCACTTTTTTAATGATCCTCGACGATCTCGGAGGCTCTTAGTATCACTTTTTCAAAAATTTGTAAGGATTCTAAAGAATTTCTGGGTCCCTAGTGTCATTTTTTAAGAATTTATAAGAACTCAAAAGAATTCTGTGTCCCTAGTTAGTGTAATTTTTTTCAATGATCATCAAGGCTCTCGGAGACCCTAAGTGTCATTTCTTCAATGATTTTCGATAATCTCGGAGGCTCTTAGTGTTTTTTTTTTAAGAATTTGTAGGAATTCTAAAGAATTTCTGGGTCACTAGTGTCATTTTTCAACGATTCTCGATGATTTTGGAGGCTTTTAGTGTCATTGTTTAAATAATGTATAACAACTCAAAAGGATCTCTGGGTCCCTAGTGTAATTTTTTAAGAATTTGTAAGAATTCAAAGGATCTCTGAATCCCTAGTATCTTTTTAAAGAATTTGTAGGAATTCTAAAGAATTTCTATGTCCGAAGTGTCACTTTTTTAATGATCCTCGACGATCTCGGAGGCTCTTAGTATCACCTTTTCAAAAATTTGTAAGGATTCTAAAGAATTTCTGGGTCCCTAATGTCATTTTTTAAGAATTTATAAGAATTCAAAAGAATTCTGTGTCTCTAGTTGGTGTAATTTTTTTCAATGATCATCAAGGCGCTCGGAGACCCTAAGTGTCATTTCTTCAATCATTTTCGATAATCTCGGAGGCTCTTAGTGTCATTTTAAGAATTTGTAGGAATTCCAAAGAATTTCTGGGTCCCTAGTGTCATTTTTCAACGATTCTCGATGATTTTGGAGGTTTTTAGTGTCATTGTTTAAATAATGTATAACAATTCAAAAGGATCTCTGGGTCCCTAGTGTAATTTTTTAAGAATTTGTAAGAATTCAAAGGATCTCTGAATCCCTAGTATCTTTTTAAAGAATTTGTAGGAATTCTAAAGAATTTCTATGTCCGAAGTGTCACTTTTTTAATGATCCTCGACGATCTCGGAGGCTCTTAGTATCACCTTTTCAAAAATTTGTAAGGATTCTAAAGAATTTCTGGGTCCCTAATGTCATTTTTTAAGAATTTATAAGAATTCAAAAGAATTCTGTGTCTCTAGTTGGTGTAATTTTTTTCAATGATCATCAAGGCGCTCGGAGACCCTAAGTGTCATTTCTTCAATCATTTTCGATAATCTCGGAGGCTCTTAGTGTCATTTTAAGAATTTGTAGGAATTCCAAAGAATTTCTGGGTCCCTAGTGTCATTTTTCAACGATTCTCGATGATTTTGGAGGCTTTTAGTGTCATTGTTTAAATAATGTATAACAACTCAAAAGGATCTCTGGGTCCCTAGTGTAATTTTTTAAGAATTTGTAAGAATTCAAAGGATCTCTGAATCCCTAGTGTCTTTTTAAAGAATTTGTAGGAATTCTAAAGAATTTCTATGTCCGAAGTGTCACTTTTTTAATGATCCTCGACGATCTCGGAGGCTCTTAGTATCACTTTTTCAAAAATTTGTAAGTCTAAAGAATTTCTGGGTCCCTAGTGTCATTTTTTAAGAATTTATAAGAATTCAAAAGAATTCTGTGTCTCTAGTTGGTGTCATTTTTTTCAATGATCATCAAGGCGCTCGGAGACCCTAAGTGTCATTTCTTCAATCATTTTCGATAATCTCGGAGGCTCTTAGTGTCATTTTAAAAATTTGTAGGAATTCTAAAGAATTTCTGGGTCCCTAGTGTCATTTTTCAACGATTCTCGATGATTTTGGAGGCTTTTAGTGTCATTGTTTAAATAATGTATAACAACTCAAAAGGATCTCTGGGTCCCTAGTGTAATTTTTTAAGCATTTGTAAAAATTGAAAAGAATCACTGAGGCCCTTAGTGTCACTTTTTTCCATGATTCTCAAGGATCTAGAGATCCCTAGTGTATTTTTTTTTTAAGAATTTGTGAAAACTCAAAAGAATCTCTGGGTTTCTGGGTCATTTTTTCAATGAGTCTCGAGGATCTTGGAAGCCCCTAGTGTCTTTTTTTAAAGAATTTGTAAAATCTTTAAAGAATCTCGGAGTTCCTTGGTGTCATTTTTTCAATAATTCTCAACGATATTGGAGGCCCCTAGTGTATTTTTTCTCTGGGGTTCCTAGTGTCATTTTTTCGACCATTTTCAAGGATTTCGGGGGTCCTTGGTGTTTTTTTTAAGAAATTATAAGAATTCAAAAGAATCTCTGGTGTCCCTAGTGTAATTTTTTTATAATTTCAAAGGATCTCGATGTTTTTTGTTTATAATTTATAGGGCCACTTTGTCTTTTTAATAAAAACGCGAAAAATCAAGGCGGCTCCAAGTTTTCTTGTTTATTTTTTAAGTAACTTTTTTTAATCATTTTAAAGATAGTGGGGGACTCTCTAGTGTCTCTTTTTGTCTTTTTAAAGACACAAATGTCAGTTTGATAATCAATTATGCCATCATAAAATTTTAAATATATTGCCAACATGACAAAAAAAAAACACACAAATGGGTCGGATTTCCCTAGCAAAATTTTGACATGACAAACAAATTTTTTTTTAGGTACCTAAAAAATCGCCAACAGACAGACACCGGAAATAGAAGACCCACTTTCCCATATTCTAGAACTAACGAAAAGAAAAAGTTGCACAATAATATCACACCATAAAAATGCATCTACTGATAACACACCCACATCCACACGTATTCAATTCGATCCCACATTTACACAACGCCACACACGATTTAAGCACTTTTTCAATCAAACCAACCAAATAATTTCACATTCTTTTCGTGCCACGCACGCTTAACTCTGATTCGTCACTGTCATAATTGGATGCATATGCACCATGTCAGTCACAAAAACCCGAATTTTTGCAACACCTGTTTCAAAACACCATTTTTCATTCAAATATCGTAATCTTATCAGACGCGAGGTATTAAACACGGATAAAGTGAAATCCCACTATTAAAATCTTTTATAGCTCGCTAACTAAACAAAGGTGCGGGGACGTCTTTTTTTAATACGATTAACACGGAGTGTCGCAGGGGTCCGACCCCGCTCAGTTATTCTTTCCGTCTTTCGCCAACGATCTACTCACTTTTCGTTCTTCTCGGATGTCTTTGACCAAAGCGTTCAATTCCTTTATAACGTTCGCTTGTAAGTTTTCAGCAACCACCTCATGTTGTCCCGCAAGGTCGTTGATTTCGTTCATTAGTATTTTGAACGCTTTACACGACGTGAACCTGAAAGAAACAAAGTCGCCGTTACTAAGACATCTAAAGGCATTTTCCATAAATCAGACCGTTTCAATTCCAACCTTGAAGGAATAATTATTACATACCTTCAGATATCTGTAATGTTGCAGTAGAACGAAATGAGTAATTGAGTACTTACTAAAGCCTTCCGAGTAATGGAAATGAATCAGTCGAGTGTAAAAATATACAAAAATACAGTTACGACAAAATGGTAACGATTATAGTTTTAAGAATGAAATTAGTAATTTGTTTCGCTAAACGCATCACGTGAGGGCCAAGAACCTCTTTATAGATTAAGATCGATGAATAAACAACCGAGAAAAAATAATCTAAGTAAGTAAATAAACACGAGGGACATTTTTCATAGAGCGATAACGTGTTGTGTAATCGGTCTACAACCAATTGTACCAATTATGACACAATCACGATGAGTGTTTTTTAGGAGTCGTTCGCTTTCTCCTCGAACCATACACCAACAATTAATATCGATGCAGTTATGGAAATAGAGCTATTAAAAGCGAAAGGAAAACGTGTGAAAATTTTTATGCAGCTCGACGGGGTCACGAATGCCGACCTTAAGTACCACTGGAATTCAACAAACATCTCGTTAAAAAATAATTAGAAAGATGCGGGTCTAAAACGCAAAATTTTTACTCGATTTACACGCCGAATAGTTGCGAACGCTATCGAAAATTCGTATTAACGTATTACTACTTACTGGTAGTCCTCTTCATCCTTTTTCTTCGGTTGGTAAGTCTTGACTAATCTCCTGAAATAAATAACTTGCGGTTAGTAACGGTAAACAAAATAAACCTCTTATTATAGCTAAATTGCCAGCTTCGACCGGTCAGACTTGGCTGAAAAGGAAAGCATTGGGTCTTTGTTCTGGCTAGACGGCATTGTCGGATTCACAATGCTGGGAGTCGGTATTCTGATCGAATGTTTTAGTGATTTTCTAACAGAGTTACAAACTCATTCCAGTTATGAGTAAACAAACAGGAATAACTGGTGAAGGGATAACAGTTTATCCTCGACATCAGGGAACTAATTACACGTCGTGGATATTTTATGGTTAATTAGTTGCATGTTATTCACAAAACCTAGCTAAAAACTGTAATTTTCTTGCAGGGACGATAATGATAATCAATACAATGTTAATCGATTCTGAGTACATCATACACGTCAGGAAATGTCAAATTATTATAATGTAAAAATAATTAAAGAGTGAAGTCCGTTGCACTCGATCTTCGGTGTCGAGTTTTTTGGATTTCTGTAATAAGTTTCTTCATTTACTTTTACAAAAAAAGAAGAGGTCGGTTTTTTCTACCGAAATATGGCATTCGTAAGTTATCTCCGCCTCTGGTGTCATACAATAGAATAAAACAACTTCATTGGGTAATGGGAAGGGTAGGCGGAGCTTACAACTTTTTTGTCACGAATCAGCTTTTTAAATCGTGTTTGAGGCGTTTTGTTTTTAACACAACTCATTGGAAATTAAGCTCCCCTTCCCGTTTTGCGATTACGCTTATTGTAAGCAGCTTCAAAAAGCAAATCCTCGTATAGAAATATTTATTTTCCATCTAAATTTCACCCTTTTTACACGACGAATCAAAAGGCTCACTATGGCGGGTAGGCGGAGCATTTTTAGAACTTGTTTCAAGTGTTTTGTTTACTTTTGAAATTACGCCCCGCCTCTCATTTCATGACGAATAAAGAAACTCATTTATGCCTAGAAGGGGCGAATAGGCGTAGCTTATTTGTTTAATGTTTTTCTCAGGATAGTATGACCTCAAGAAAAGGTTAATTAAAGCGGAGTCTCGGGTGGGTGGGCGGGCATCTCTTTCTATCAAAACAATCAACTGTTTCAAGAGTTTTATCTACAAAAATATCTCATTTCAAATTAAGCTCCGCCCCTTATTTTACGATGAATAAAGAAACTCATGAAGTCCAAGAAGGAGTGAGTGGGTGGAGCTTATCCGTTTAATGCGTTTCTCAGAATAGTCTGTTTTCAACAATGTTTTGTGTAACATAAATGTCAAAAGACAAATTTTCATACAAAAATATTTTAACTTCATGAAAGTTTCACCTTCGTTTCATGAAGAAAAAAAGATTCATTAAGGCGGAGGCTCGGGCGGGTGGGTGGGGCATCTTTTTTAGTCAAAATGCTCAGTTGTTGCCCGCAAAAACATCTCATTTCAAATTAAACTCCGCCTCTCATTTCACAATGAATAAAGAAACTCATTAATTCCAAGAAGGGGTGGATGGGTGGGGTTTATTTGTTTAATGTTTTTCTCAGAATAGTCTTCTTTTAACAAAATATTGCTTAAAATTAGATTCAAAAGACAATTTTTTCTACAAATGTTTTATCTGTATCTAGGTTTCGCCGTAGTTTCATGAGGAAGAAAAGGTTCATTAAGGCGGAGTCTCGGGCGGGTGGGCGGGGCATCGTTTTCCATCAAAATAATCAGGTGTTTCAAAAGAGTTTTGTCTACAAAAATATCTGATTTCAAATTAAACTCCGCCTCTCATTTCATGATGAATAAAGAAATTAATTTATTCCAAGAAGGGGTCGGTGGACCGGGTTTCTTTGTGGAATGTTTTTCTCAGAATAGTCTTCTTTCAACAAAATATTGCTTAAAACTAGTTTCAAAAGACTATTTTTTCTACAAATGTTTTATCTGTATCTAGGTTTCGCCGTAGTTTCATGAGGAAGAAAAGGTTCATTAAGGCGGAGTCTCGGGCGGGTGGGCGGGGCATCTTTTTCCATCAAAATAATCAGGTGTTTCAAAAGAGTTTTGTCTACAAAAATATCTGATTTCAAATTAAACTCCGCCTCTCATTTCATGATGAATAAAGAAATTAATTTATTCCAAGAAGGGCTCGGTGGACTGGGCTTCTTTGTGGAATGTTTTTCTCAGAATAGTCTTCTTTCAACAAAATATTGCTTAAAATTAGTTTCGAAAGACAATTTTTTCTACAAATGTTTTATCTGTATCTAGGTTTCGCCGTAGTTTCATGAGGAAGAAAAGGTTCATTAAGGCGGAGTCTCGGGCGGGTGGGCGGGGCATCGTTTTCCATCAAAATAATCAGGTGTTTCAAAAGAGTTTTGTCTACAAAAATATCTGATTTCAAATTAAACTCCGCCTCTCATTTCATGATGAATAAAGAAATTAATTTATTCCAAGAAGGGGTCGGTGGACCGGGTTTCTTTGTGGAATGTTTTTCTCAGAATAGTCTTCTTTCAACAAAATATTGCTTAAAACTAGTTTCAAAAGACTATTTTTTCTACAAATGTTTTATCTGTATCTAGGTTTCGCCGTAGTTTCATGAGGAAGAAAAGGTTCATTAAGGCGGAGTCTCGGGCGGGTGGGCGGGGCATCTTTTTCCATCAAAATAATCAGGTGTTTCAAAAGAGTTTTGTCTACAAAAATATCTGATTTCAAATTAAACTCCGCCTCTCATTTCATGATGAATAAAGAAATTAATTTATTCCAAGAAGGGCTCGGTGGACTGGGCTTCTTTGTGGAATGTTTTTCTCAGAATAGTCTTCTTTCAACAAAATATTGCTTAAAATTAGTTTCGAAAGACAATTTTTTCTACAAATGTTTTATCTGTATCTAGGTTTCGCCGTAGTTTCATGAGGAAGAAAAGGTTCATTAAGGGGGAGTCTCGGGCGGGTGGGCGGGGCATCGTTTTCCATCAAAATAATCAGGTGTTTCAAAAGAGTTTTGTCTACAAAAATATCTGATTTCAAATTAAACTCCGCCTCTCATTTCATGATGAATAAAGAAATTAATTTATTCCAAGAAGGGGTCGGTGGACCGGGTTTCTTTGTGGAATGTTTTTCTCAGAATAGTCTTCTTTCAACAAAATATTGCTTAAAACTAGTTTCAAAAGACTATTTTTTCTACAAATGTTTTATCTGTATCTAGGTTTCGCCGTAGTTTCATGAGGAAGAAAAGGTTCATTAAGGCGGAGTCTCGGGCGGGTGGGCGGGGCATCTTTTTCCATCAAAATAATCAGGTGTTTCAAAAGAGTTTTGTCTACAAAAATATCTGATTTCAAATTAAACTCCGCCTCTCATTTCATGATGAATAAAGAAATTAATTTATTCCAAGAAGGGCTCGGTGGACTGGGCTTCTTTGTGGAATGTTTTTCTCAGAATAGTCTTCTTTCAACAAAATATTGCTTAAAATTAGTTTCGAAAGACAATTTTTTCTACAAATGTTTTATCTGTATCTAGGTTTCGCCGTAGTTTCATGAGGAAGAAAAGGTTCATTAAGGCGGAGTCTCGGGCGGGTGGGCGGGGCATCGTTTTCCATCAAAATAATCAGGTGTTTCAAAAGAGTTTTGTCTACAAAAATATCTGATTTCAAATTAAACTCCGCCTCTCATTTCATGATGAATAAAGAAATTAATTTATTCCAAGAAGGGGTCGGTGGACCGGGTTTCTTTGTGGAATGTTTTTCTCAGAATAGTCTTCTTTCAACAAAATATTGCTTAAAACTAGTTTCAAAAGACTATTTTTTCTACAAATGTTTTATCTGTATCTAGGTTTCGCCGTAGTTTCATGAGGAAGAAAAGGTTCATTAAGGCGGAGTCTCGGGCGGGTGGGCGGGGCATCTTTTTCCATCAAAATAATCAGGTGTTTCAAAAGAGTTTTGTCTACAAAAATATCTGATTTCAAATTAAACTCCGCCTCTCATTTCATGATGAATAAAGAAATTAATTTATTCCAAGAAGGGCTCGGTGGACTGGGCTTCTTTGTGGAATGTTTTTCTCAGAATAGTCTTCTTTCAACAAAATATTGCTTAAAATTAGTTTCGAAAGACAATTTTTTCTACAAATGTTTTATCTGTATCTAGGTTTCGCCGTAGTTTCATGAGGAAGAAAAGGTTCATTAAGGCGGAGTCTCGGGCGGGTGGGCGGGGCATCGTTTTCCATCAAAATAATCAGGTGTTTCAAAAGAGTTTTGTCTACAAAAATATCTGATTTCAAATTAAACTCCGCCTCTCATTTCATGATGAATAAAGAAATTAATTTATTCCAAGAAGGGCTCGGTGGACTGGGCTTCTTTGTGTAATGTTTTTCTCAGAATAGTCTTCTTTCCACAAAATATTGCTTAAAACTAGTTTCAAAAGACTATTTTTTCTACAAATGTTTTATCTGTATCTAGGTTTCGTCGTAGTTTCATGAGGAAGAAAAGGTTCATTAAGGCGGAGTCTCGGGCGGGTGGGCGGGGTATCTTTTTCCATCAAAATAATCAGGTGTTTCAAAAGCGTTTTGTCTACAAAAATATCTGATTTCAAATTAAACTCCGCCTCTCATTTCATGATGAATAAAGAAATTAATTTATTCCAAGAAGGGCTCGGTGGACTGGGCTTCTTTGTGTAATGTTTTTCTCAGAATAGTCTTCTTTCAACAAAATATTGCTTAAAACTAGTTTCAAAAGACTATTTTTTCTACAAATGTTTTATCTGTATCTAGGTTTCGCCGTAGTTTCATGAGGAAGAAAAGGTTCATTAAGGCGGAGTCTCGGGCGGGTGGGCGGGGCATCTTTTTCCATCAAAATAATCAGGTGTTTCAAAAGAGTTTTGTCTACAAAAATATCTGATTTCAAATTAAACTCCGCCTCTCATTTCATGATGAATAAAGAAATTAATTTATTCCAAGAAGGGCTCGGTGGACTGGGCTTCTTTGTGGAATGTTTTTCTCAGAATAGTCTTCTTTCAACAAAATATTGCTTAAAATTAGTTTCGAAAGACAATT